TCGTGGTTCATGGGTTTGAGCCCCATGTCGGGCTCTGCACTGACAGTGCAGAACCTGCTTGGGATTTTCTCTCTCTCTCTCTCTCTCTCTCTCTCTCTCTCTCCCCCCACCCTACTCTCACTCACGTGCTCTCTCAAAATCAATACATAAACGTAAAAGAAAGAAAAGGAAAAATGAATAAGAACTGGTAAATAATTTGGATGGAAGGATGGGGCAATTCACTGGGAGTTTTTTTAAAAATGACAATACAGGGGCGCATGGGTGGCTTAATGAGTTAAGTGTCCAACTCTTGATTTTGGCTCAGGTCATGATCTTGCAATTCCTGGGACTGAGTCCTGTGTTGGGCTCTCGGCTGAGTGTGGCCAGCCACACTCTCTCTCTCTCTCTCTCTCTCTCTCTGCCCCTCCCCCGCTTGCACACGTGTTCTCTTCTCTCTCTCTCTCAGTAAATAAATAAACATCTAAAAATGATAAATCAATGAAAAGAAATTGAATTGTGGGTTCTCCAGGGATAGCCAGAGGAACCCAGTTGGGGGGAAAGAATAGGGGTTTAGCAGAAAGATATACATTAATTGTAAAGATGAGCCGGTAACTCAAATAAAATGTCCAATAGTCAGTAAATTTGTGATGACTGTAGTCCAATAGTCACAATTTGTGATGACTGTAGGTCTCTTGAGGACCAAGACTGTTTGCTATTCTTCTTTGAATCTCCCAGCACCCAGTGCGGGAAGGACACATAGCTTACTCTCAGTAAATGTGGCCTAGCCGGCTGACGAACTGCATAGAGTTTGGGGGGCCAGCTTCACAAAGAAAATCATAAATTGTGAGTGTGCACAAATACAATCTTCAAGGGTAGGGTACAAAGAAAGGAACTAAGAGGACATAGGAATAAAGGAATAAATACACTGAAGGAACCAGAGAGGGAAAAAAAAGAAACCAGTAGCAGAGGAAGGGCAGGTCTGGGAGTTAAACTGAGAGAGAGGAAGGGAAGGGAAGGGAGGGGTGGGGGAGGGAAGGAAGGGGGGAGGGGGAGAGGAAAACAAGAATAGAATCAGAGCCGTTAGGCAAGAGAGATGCTACTTATTTATAATTGGAATGTGTATTTATCTCTATATACCCCCAGATAGAGAATGCATAGATGCAAAAATTATAAAGTCACATTTAGTGAGCAAAAATGAAAATCATTAAGATGTTTCCTTAATAACTTAAAGTAAATAAATTAATAGCTCCCGACATATTGATTCATCTATCGCATGTGGGCACTCAATAAATGTTAATTGAATTACATTAATAACATTTGCTCAATGGTAATAAAAAATTAATTAACTGTCTGTCTTTTCTGTTACTTAAGTTTATGCCCATTGGTTCTGCAATTACTTCTAGCCCAAACATGAATTTTCTATCTCACTGGCTTTTGAGACACACTTTAATTTTTTTTTTCCCTAAGAAATACGGTCGAGCTTCTAATTTTTGTCCTAATTTTGGTATTTTTTTTCTGTTAAAAAAATTATTTTCTCTAAGTTAATGTCAAGAACTATGTATAACATCCCAAATATAGTGTCACGAGTTCCTTATTTAATTCCAAAATCGTTTTCTCTGCAGGAGTTGTGATACCACTTTTTACTTGTTTCTCCTTTTAGCCTATGCTACTTTATAATACTTTGGATACAATGTCAAATAACACCACAAAAGACAAATCTGGGGAAATTTATTGTTAGCTTTCCATCTATAAAAGATGGAAGATGTCAGTCACATTCACCCAAAAATTGTGACTCACTTCAGATGTCAGAATTCTGGGTTGAACAGACTGGGTTCTGAAATGTGTGTATGTCAGATGATTTTCTAATGAGCAACAGATAGTTCCCACTGGGGAATGGAAAAAAAAATAAAAATATAAACAGAGACATAGAATTAAAATAACTTTATGAATGGCAGTTTAACTTCTCCATAAAATTCTCTCCGTACAAACCCAGTGGCTCCAAATGGTTGCTTAATGTAACACACTACTTAGATTCAAAATGCTATACTTAAAATTGTCGCAAAATTAAAAAGAGAATCATATACCACTTGGCTGTATACAGTATTCTCCGCATGTTCTTACATTCCAGTAACCTCTATCCAACATTTTTTTTGTTCCTGAATTACTTTGTGCAAAAGCAATTTAAATTACATGCAGCCTGACTACGTGTGATAATTTGAACTGATTGTTAATTAATTCCGTAAGTAAATAGCCGCCGCAATCTCTATACTCATCAAGGTTTCGTTATCTATCAGCTCTTTCTGAGCTGCTCTTTAATGTACAGTATAAAGCAGCTGTAACTGAAGACACAGGATTCCCTGAGTGTGCAAGAAGGTAGTCTTGCTTTGCAGAGGCTGCTCAGGGAGAGAGGCATCTGTGGAGCTAAGTAATTTCCGAGGCTAGATCTTGAGCAGGTGACGCATCATGGCGTTTCGGGTTAAGAGGGGTTTGCTGATAGGCAGTCTCAGCAGCTAGGCAGCAGAGAACAAAGCTAAGAACAAATCAGAGATACTGTTGCAGACTATAGAGACGAGGATAAGAAGAGAGCTTTTGGAACACGCCGGGCCTGGGTTCAAATCCTAGTTCTATCATTTGCTAATGAGGCAGACTTGGGCAACTCAGCTCAATAAACTATCTAAGCTTTGGTTACACTCATTCATCTGTTAACTGGGGATACCAATGCACACAGTTGCCATCTGTTCACGGAGGCTGACAATAACTACCTCCTGGAGTCTTTGTGAGGCTTAAGTTAAATGAGGTATATAAGTGGTAACATGGAACTTGACATAAAATGCATGCAACTATGTATGTGGGTGTGTGCAGAAAGCAGTGGTCTGATTTTCAATCCAGGTGACTTTGCCCCATAGGCAAAATTCGGCAATAGGTGCAGACATTTTTGCCCGTCCCAACCTAGGACAATGGGTGCTACTGGCAGAGGACAGGGAGGCTGTTAAAAATCCTACCAGCTCCCCAAAGAATTATCTATCTCCAAATATTAATACCGCTCTAAGTATGCCAAAGCATAACTTGAATGGCTGTTTGTAAGATTAGCTAATTACTGGACACTTGGGGACCCAAGAAAAATAAACTGTTATTTTTATAGCATCATCGTTACAACATTAATTTGGTAAATCTCTCTCGGGATAGAGGAAGTCTAGAGTTTCCCCATTGATTGAGCTAATTCTATCTATTCACAATTACATTAATTGCTATTCATGAGAGATGTTCCCATGAACCCCAATTTCTACCAGCCCAATTTAGAGTGAATCAAAGCATAACCAAGAGATTGAAAGCCAGCGACATAAGGGGGAGGGAATAAAAAGCAAACCTTGCTGAAAGCCAAGGCTGTTTGGACGCTGAGAAAGAAACAAACATGGCCTAAGACAATTGTGTGAGATGTACTGATAGTTCCCATGCCAGTCACGAGCCTTTGGAACTCCATATAGAGAGCTTCAAAAATCCCCTCCCCACCCCCACCCCCGGGGCTGTGATCTGATCTGGTGAAGGATGGGAAGGGTCGCCTGAGCTTTAAAAAAATTCCGAAGTGTTAAGAGATTTCCCAGGTTATTCTACTGTTTACACAGTCTGGGAACCACTGCCCTAGGAGGCAGGACCCTGTAGAGTTTTCCATCTGCCCGAAACAAAGCAACTTTTGAAAAGATGATGAAAATGGGTGGTGGCAAGAATACACTTCTTGCATGAGCTGTGTGAACATGGGACAAACCAGGTTGGTTGTTGTATTGTTTATTCTAGTCACTCAATGAGCATTATTGGATCAACCCGGCATTGTGTTAGCGACAAGAATGCAAGTCTCCAGAATGAATCTTCACCATCTCCCAGTAGGGCTGCTAAATCACCAGGACTGCCACTTGTTTAGGTCTCAAATGATCCCTAGGAACCAGCTGGTCCACAAGTTTGAGAATACCTTCTGTTAACTCTTTCCTAGGTTTTAGGATTCTGTTTAACAGGTGTAGGTAAGTTACCACCCAGTCTGGTTCTCTCTCTAATGTAATTTCATGGTGTGTTTCTCTCTGTCCTACACTCCTCGATATTGTGACTTTGTTATTTCTCTGCTAACATGTTTGATGCTTGTGAAAGCTGAGGACCATGCCTGTCTCAGGTACCACTGTACCCCCAGTGCCCAGTTCAGTGCTTCTTATATAACAGGCCCTCAATTGTTAAGTGGGAATGAATGAATGAATGAATGAACGAACGAACAAATGAATATGGGAGTTCTCAAAGACATGAGGCAACTAGGGCTTCTTGGTCTTCTCTATGACGCTCCAAACCAGAATCTCAGTCCAGGACTTTGCTGGAGGTTCCTTTCTAGGTGGTTCTATGGAAATAAAACATGTTCCAAAAAGCCTACCCCCAAAGCTCACATTGATGATCACCTGACTGGGAGCTTAACAAATGGCAAGGCAGGGAAAAGAAAAGATCAGAAACAAGAATGAGCTTCTAGACTGTTCATTTATAATCACTTCTCGTATACAGAGGAGGAAACTGAGGTTTGTAGAAACAAACAGGACAATGTGATGGAGATCACATACATTATGGAGCAGTACTCAGCACTGAAGACCCTTCTACTGCTCCTGGGATCCAGAAAACACTTTGACAATGAGCTGACAACAAACTATGAGATTTCATTGATCCAAGTGAATGAATTCTTTGATTCTCTCCACCCATCACTAAAATAAATAAATATATAATTGATTTTAAAATCACACACAGGAGACGTAAGTGATACAAATTACTGTGATAGGAAAACTTGTAACGTGTGTCAAACGTTATCATGATTGCCTCTTTTATTCTTACTTATAGTTTTATTCAAAATGATCCTGTTCAATGATGCTTCATTCTCTTACATAAGATCTTGTTCTCATAAAAGCCTAGAGTGTGAAGTTTTCTGCAAATGTCCGTTCTGAAATCACTGGGTCACATCAACTATAATGGGTTTGTGTATTTTTTCTTTTTTCATCTAGATATGCAACTCACAAATGAAAAGCATGCAGACGAGAAACCCATTAATGCTATCATTATAAATTCAGTATCCGAATTCAATATCACAGATGGACCAGCCAAGGAAACCCCCAGTGAGAAAAAACTGTCAGAATTCAGCACATCACTGTCCTCCCTTGAAGAATGCCAAACGAAATTTTCCTACCTCCAAACTGATACTTCAGTTCATCAGAGAGACACTGATGGTATGTTTCTCAGAATCAACCCATCTCTAAATAAAGCTCCCCAACCCCCGCCCCTGTAAAATCATCACATATGCTGTTAGAAAAAAAGAGCCTTTATGAATATTAAACAGGAAGACTTCGATTTGAAAACCCTGGTGAATGACACATGTCAAGGTCACTCTGCAATTATGAGGTGCTTGGCAGATTGTTTGCTCTCAAAGCTGGAAATCGGAGGCAAAGTGTTTTAAATAGCTGGAGTGAGGTATAATCATGCTTGCTATGGAGTTATGATGTGGATAAAGAAAAACGGCAAACTTTTCTCAAATCTGGGACTGTTCAGCCCCTGTATCTAGACTGAGAGGAGAAGAAGGCAGAGGGGAATGGTACGAGAATGCTGGAAATGTATAAATGTAGACTGTAAAAAATATCATTCTGCTTACATCAGCAAGCAGTAAAGAAGGATTGGTTACTCTAGCTGATATCACCTCCTGGGCATTCTGATCAGTGCAAACCTACACCAAACTACCCCTGTATATGACATTAAAGGCACACTCCCTTTGGCAAAGCCAACTTCAGATTGATTTGGTGCTAAGTGATCATCACAGTCAAGTTCAGAGTCATGGACTCCACACCAAGACATATGTAATTTTACTCAGGTTGACTTTGCAGTGACCTTTACAGAAGACATAAACCGTTCAGGAATTTCGTAGTGTTCCATACCTACGTTTGCATTTAAAGAAAGCTTGCAGTCTCTCAAAAGACAATATAATAGGTCCTAGTTACTAGTCTAGATTTAAATTAACATTTACTTTTTGAAAAAGAGAAAAAAGGGGCGCCTGGGTGGCGCAGTCGGTTAAGCGTCCGACTTCAGCCAGGTCACGATCTCGCGGTCCGTGAGTTCGAGCCCCGCGTCAGGCTCTGGGCTGATGGCTCGGAGCCTGGAGCCTGTTTCCGATTCTGTGACTCCCTCTCTCTCTGCCCCTCCCCTGTTCATGCTCTGTCTCTCTCTGTCCCAAAAATAAATAAACGTTGAAAAAAAAATTTAAAAAAAAAAAAAGAAAAAGAGAAAAAAGAAATACATAGACTTTGTATTAACAGGAGTTTGGAATCACATCAGTTTAATTCCTGGCTCTGAAATTTATTAACTGCATAAACCTGGGTAAGTTTTTTAGCATCTCTGACTCTCAGACTCTCGGTTATATATAATGGAGCTAGTAACACATCATAGGGTGTTTTGAAGATCAAATGAAATAACATATATAAAGGATCCAATAGAGAACCTGGCACATAATAGATATGTGATTTTTGCTTTCATTCTGGTTCTGGTTTTAGAAAGTAAGGGGAGAGATTTCTAACACATGTTATTTACGATCTTATGCACACATTGTCAAGGATGCTTCAGACCAGAAGCTACAGACACAATTGCTTGCAGCTGCCAGGAGATAGTGTGAATAATGCAGAAGATGGGCAGTGAACAATAGGGGTGGGCGAGGACTGTGGCAAGGTGAAGAGCCCTGCCACTACTCAGCTCCAGCTAATTGTTTCCGGAAGAAAATAGAGGCTCAGAGTTGCCAGGTCCAGAGCGTTACGGGACATCTCTGCATTTCTTAGGTGTTGGCAAAACTTCTATCTCATTTATGAAGCCCCAGACGCTCCCAACAATACGTGGCTTTGGGCCAACTTTGGCCGGTGGACTTCCGGGTTACCACCCCAAATTCAAGATGATGCCCAAGTTTCTGGCTTTGCTAGTGTTTCATGGCAATCAAGAAAACAGGTGATACAGGATCGGCTTGCATCAGGGATGCACGGATCTTACGTGTAACGGGTCTTGGTTGTAATGACCCCAGAATTAGGAATTAACCGTTGTACATATCCACACAGTACAACACAATGCCGTCCAGAACCACTCTGATTTGTCCTATCGGGGATCCAGGGAGAATGAGAAGGGCAGGCGTAGCTGAGATGGTACCTGAACCCTTGTATTCTCAGGAAAGGGCCAAAATGACCACTCCATGAAAATGACAATGGATAATCAGGGGCCTCACGCAGGAAAAGAACGACTTCCTCTTGTCTTTGAAGAGCAGAGGAGATTCATGAGGACAGTTGAATTAGACTGTTCTTCTTAAGCTCTGGCTGAGAGGCTGGTACAACCCGGAAAATTACAACTGTAGGCCAACAACACAGGTAACAGCCCGCTAATCCATTCTCACAGTGTGAACTCCCCCCATCAGCAACGTAAGAGTTTTTGGTATCTGGATAAAAGAGAGAAACATTCCAAATAGGGCCTACAAATGTGGGTAGGAAGCTCTCATTATCTTAAACAGCCAACATCAAGGATATCAAGAGTTAAGTCGGAGAATTTTTATAGTAATTAATTTAAGGATGCAGAAATTGAGAGCTGGGGTCATTGTTCGTACTGAGATAAATACAGAAATATCTTGCAGGAACAGCAGGGGAAACAGAAGGGAAAAGAGAAGATTGCATCCACTTTCATGTAGTTTGTGGTTAATTTATTTTCAAATGTATAAATGAGTGCATAGGAATGGATGCTTAATTGCTAATATCTATTATTTATATACATTGCCCCACTTAAAACAGAATGGAAAAGCCTCACACATGCAGATTTTGTAAAATGTGTTACATCCATTAGCACAGTTCATGGTGTGTGCTCTGATGGGAATTTAAAAGGATCTTTACTGCACATCACACACTATGTGCTGCAACATTACTTTATTATTAAATTGTGGCTCATCCTGTGTGGTCCCTTTCCCGAATAAAATGGAAAAAGTCCAGAGCACTGTCTGTGTCTCTGCTTCTGTTTCTACACTCTGATTGCAAAGGCATCCCTGTGGGTAATAAAATCAAGCATATACACAATAGTCGAAAAGAGGCTCCTTAAAAAGAATCCTGAGAATACACCTAATTGATGTATAATTTTGAATCTGCGATGTCTCATCCAGGTGGAAGAGGAAAATCATAAATACAAGATACCTCAAAAGAATAGTCTTAATTACACCATGGACTACTGAATAAAATGATTACATTTTCTACACTGTAAATTTCATACAATTAAATGCGGTAGTGTCACCTTATAAAATGTTTCAATTTTATAATTATTTCAGTTCATTTGCTCAGAAAAAAACATAAGCACAAATTTACTAAGTATCACCCAAATCCAGTCATCCTCGTTCTAAAGAAGTGACTTGAACGTTAGTTGTGCTTGTCTGAACTTAAATAGATCTTGACATATTTAAGTAGCTATTAAAATTGATAACATCAGGGATGATACCCCAGCTAGAGAAAGGCATTCAGTCACACTTTATTTATTCCTATTCTACATTACAGACTTTTTAAAAAAAAAAAAAAACTTAATGTTGGAAGAGTGGGAACCAATTTTTATACTTTTTCACCAAAAACTTTGAGTAATTAGTCGGAGCCACCGTGTCATGAATCTCATGATTATGCCGAATCTGCTGTGACCACACATTAACCATTAACATATTAGAATACTGGGTTTGGGGCAGGTTTATTTTCCTTTTTTTATTACTTGGCTTTGAGGGGATGGGAGGGGGAGAATGTTGTTTATGTGGGACCCCTTATGGAAGAACCCCATTTTTGCTACTTTGCATAGTGATTCCCAAACTAGCGGGTGAATGTTTCTGGAGCTAAGGAAAACCATCAGAACTACAGGGGACAGCTACATCCTCCACTGTCTCTCCCTCCTCTGAATTCCAGGCATTTTGGTGACAAGATTGAAAGCTGGGAGGGCAAACCCAGTGAGTACTGGACCACGACTGCGAGGCTGATCTCTGATACCCTGGTGGAAACTCCTTGCATTGTTACCTTTTCCACTATAATTAAACATGATCCTTTCTAATGAGACAGATTCTCCCTCTTAATTAGCCAATCCCCAGCTGTACATTTAGCACCTCTGGAGGCTGCCTTAATCCTTCAGTATCATTAGGGTATCACTTAGCACATTACAGCCTCAGTGTCCTAAAGGTACCCTAGGGGTGTAAAAAGGAAATGAAACAACCTAAGCAGGTTTTTGTCATGGCTTTTTGCTCACAAATATACCGCTTTTGGCTGCAAGGCTTGCAGGTCTCGGCTCCTTCTTGAACCTTCCCTGATCCGGATTTAAGGAGATAAGAGGTGGGAAAGTGAGCTGGGTGCTCTGAGAGCAGTGATTACAGCCCGGGCCAGGATGCCAGGGCAGTCAATAAAGGGACGTCAACATACAGAGACCTAGTTACGAAGATATTAGGAGAGGTGAAAAGCCAGGTAAGGGAGTAGTGAGGCCTCCAAGGGCTTAGCAACAAGGCTCTGACACCTCTTCCCTTGGTCCCTCCCAGGCCACTAGTAAATGACAAGCACTGGCCTGAGCTCATAGGCCACCAGCAACTAACCATTACTTGACACACCACTAGTAAGTGGCATTAACAGTAGCCACAGAAAGAAGGATTTTCAGAAAGAGAGAAAACCAAGGGGCAGATACACCTGAGACACCACTCAAAGCAGAGAGAGGGGAGAAGAAATACCCCCTGCATTCCCTTCTCCCCCGCCCCCCACCCTCTTTTCCTGTCACTGCTTCCCATTGGCTGAGGCTGGTGAGAAGCCGCTTGACAGAACCTTGAAAACAGACTTTAGCAGTCTTGGGAATACAGAGCAGAGCAGGGACGAGAAGGGAGAGCAGGCCTTCCACGAGCCGGCCACGTCCTGCGCCATGTTGGATCATGACAGAGGAGGTGTGAGCCTTCTGAAGGGCAGGCCAGCTGCAGGGTTAAGAGCTCTGGAGGGGACAGTTGGAGTCAAATCACAGACTCACCATTTCCTATGCTTCTTAAATTCCCTGAGCCACTATTTCCCCATCTATAAAAGAATTGTGATAGGACTCAACTCAGGCCCACTTCAGGACCTATGTGAGGAGCGCATAAAGTACAGAGGGCCAAGCATTTGCTTCCAATGTAACAATGGATAAGAGAGCACAGGCTTTGGATCCAGAAAGACTGACATTTGAACCTCTCGCCCACCACCTTAAAGTTGAAAGACTCAGGACATTCAGGGACAATCCCTGAGCCTGAGACCTTTCATCTAAAAAACGGGGACCACTTTATTTATCTCCCATCGTTCATTTACTCATTCTTTCACTCAACAAGAGATACAGCTTTCTTATAATTCAGGTTCTAGTAGGGAGAGAAACCCATTCACAAACGATTTAGCTTCATAGCATCCTATGGTCAGTACTATGAGGAAAAAATAGAGGGCTATGAGAGTTTCAACAGGGTGTGATTTAGAGAGAAGGTGTTTTAAGCTAAAGACTCAGAGGCTGAGTAGGAATCAGGTCAAGCTGTGAGGCAGGGGTTTATGGGACACAGGCCAAAGAGAGAGCATGCGCAAAGGCTCGGAGTTTGGTGTATCCCAGGATCTGAACGAAAGAGAGCCAGTGTGACTGGAGTGCAGTCGGTGAGGAGAAGATTAGGATGGGAAGCCAGAGAAATAGGCAGAAACCTGTACGCAGGCATATGGGCTACGACCAGGATGGGGGACTTTACGGGGGAAGTGAGCTCATCTCATTTCCAGGGAAAGAATATCACAGGAGACGATGAAGCTGAGCTGCACTCACGTAAAAACCAGCGTGTTCGATAGGAAGCTATTGCTTTGGACCTGACGATGGCCAATAGTGGCTAGAACTATGGCGGTGGCCCTAGAGGCAGGTAGAGGCTTATGAGTTTCACATACCAATATGAGATAGAATGTGCAGAATTCAGCAGGGAATTGCATGGGGGGCAGGGGGGGGGTGGTATGATGGGGAAAAGGAAAATGACAGGAATGAGTCCCAGCTTTCTGTTCATTTCATGTGAGTGTGCAAGAGCCATTCACAAGAGAAAGCCAAAGGTTTGTGGAATAAGGAATGAGGGAGAGCCGTGGTGCAGCCTGGCCTTGGTGAGTGGGAGATGTCTTGAAGACATTGCAGAAGCCATGTGAAGGAGGCAGATGGACGCACAGCATACTCTTTGGGATGGGCTGAGAGTAGGGGTGCTAATCATGGGCTATGACTTTGCATATCATGTTTACTAAACATTAAAGCCCCAAGAAATAGTGCAGGCAAAGGAAAATACACCCATTCAGGCAGGAGAAGGAGAGGTCCAACTCTCTTTTCAAACACTTGCAAATTTCCCCCTGAACTGCTTGTGTTACTTTTGTGCAAACAAAAATTGCCCATATGCAAAACAGTTTTGCCTGCCCGTGTAGAATTATTTAATGTGCCTTTTAGGAAAAGTTTTCAACACTCTTGAAAGTTTGGAAAAATCTGTTTTCAATTCATCAATGTTGCCATGTTTTTTTGGGCAAGAGGCTCTGCCTTTTATAACCAAATAAAAAGGACTGACTTATACACAGGGAAAAAAAAAAAAAAAAAGAGCTCTATTCTCAAATGCAAAATAGAAGAAAACAAATACCAGTTTGGCCAAAGCATTAGGCCAAACATTTTTGTGTGTGTGCAAATAAAACCTACGGTGTGCATCAGAAGCAGAGACCTCCGGAGTCTGCCAACTTGAGAAAACATTGGCAAGAGGAGTTAAACCAAAAGATTATATGCCCTCAGGAAATTATAAGGCCATTTCACAAATAGGGTCTCTACACTTTGATACAAAACCCCAACTCCCATCCCCATGTCACCAGCTCCCACCCTAACTTACCTGCAAATCAAACTTTTACCCTGACATCTACAAAGGACACAGATCTAGTGGGATCATTTTTATACGATCGTAGCGTGAGTAAGTCTCTTAAGCCTCCAGCCTGAAGGATATAGAGCATTTGCTTGGGATATTTTGTACTGAGAACTTCTTCTTTTCCAGGGGCTGCTCTAGTAACCTTGCTGGCATCAGCGTAAGTTGATGAGGTTTTATGCTCCGTATCTTTGACCACCAACATGCCCTCCTCAGAAATGCAGACGTAAAATAGAGTCTATGTACTGTACTAACTGACTCCTGAATTTTTGTGGGCGGTTTGTGGTGACTTATATGGGTGACTTGGCCACATGCTGGAAGCTGGCTCTAAGTGACTAAAAAAATACACCCCATCTGGCAAAGAGATGAGTGCATACACCCTGGAGGTATTATGGGATATGCTTCCTAAACCAGAAATACTTAGGTACAGCCACAGCACCTGCAACAATATATGGCAATTAAAGGAGTCATACAAGTCACCTTGAGGTTCTTCATCACTGTCTGATTGGGAAGAAAGGAAAGGAGGGTGTGAGGCAGGGATGGCACATGGGACAGAGGCAAGAACGAAGACTTTGGTTTACCTATATGCACAGTCATTTTCGACCTTTAGATAATGACTCTAAGTTTCTTCAAGATATTTGTTCCCTTTTAGAGCAAGTTTCCATGCTTGCCCTCCTTTCAAGGATGAACAAATATGTGAACAAAAAAAGTAAAAAACTTTTCTGGAACATATCGTTGGAAGTAAATGAACAGGCCTCTGAGAACAGTCAGAACCCAAGAGCAAAATCTCTCCTGCAGGCTTGGATAGTCTCAGCCAACTGAAGCCTGAAAACCAGAATTTATTAACATTAACATTCTTATTGGAAACAAAATAAATCCTTACGAAAATATAACTTTCGTTGATTGATAAACCCATCAGGAGGAGGAGATGTTTCTCCAATTCAGGCTGGAATGTTACTTTCAGCCACGAACAATCTTCAGGATAGTGACTTTCATTAATTGGATGATATATCATGTAAACATACTTACCTACCCATTTATAAAGTGCTTACATGTTTTTGAGACTTAACTAAAAAACAAGTTATGATTTTAACAAGAGAGTTGTTGCATCTCCTAACTAATTCCCTTTATGGAAACAAAAAATATCATAATCTATAACCCATCACAGCTGTTTGGCTAGAAGTACCAATTACCTTCAATACCTTAGAGATACTTTTCCGATTTTTACAAGTCTGCAGTAGTAAATTTTTAAACCAATTTTCTTAAGGAGGATTGAGAAGATTTCTACGCTTTCAGGCACCTGATGACGTATTTCATTTAACATGAATATAAAAGCAAGGCTTCCCCAAACTGGAGGACAAAGGACGCGGGGATTGAAAACAAAATACAACCAAAACAAAAACTCTGACTATTTCAAAAATTCTTTCTCTGGGTTTTGAAATGTGCTTTTCGCTGGCATGCGAATATGGGTGTGGCAGATTTATGGGAATCCACACCATACAAATGAGAAAGCCTGGTGACGAGAAGCCGGAAATTTGTACAGTCTCTCCTTGTCCCCAGCCCTAATTGCTCCTGAAAGCTCCCTGCACCTGCAGAGGACCAGCTATTTTTCAGACAGCTGCAAGGTTTCCAGATAGGTAGCTAATTGCGTGGCTTCTCAGCACCTCTGCAGGCAAAGTAAATAAAGGAGTTTAGAAAAGTGACAGCACTTTAAATAACCAGATTATGTGGAATCAATAGAAATGCTCAGGAAGTTAATAAAGCAATTACTTAAGTAGAACAGGTACGGCAGGGAGGTGGGGAAGAGTAATGGTGTACTTTACCCCTAATATGGACAATTAAGAGTTGGCCATAAAGTTATCAAGCATGCCACCACACCTGCCTGTCCTTCGGAGACGCCCCTCTATGTGCCACTGTTAACTTCTTCCTCTTCTTTTCCTTCTCCTTCTTCTTTAAACAGAGGAGTGTGCCTCTCTCATCCTCACCTGTCTGTTTTGCCAGTTTTGGGACTGCCTCCTGATGCTCCCAGATACGTGCGAAACAGTGTGTACCAACCTGTGCTGCCCCTCTCACAGGTACCACCACACCTCGGATGAAAGCCACCCGCGGCACGACTGCAAGTGCAACTGTGACGTTGACTGCAGTCTTTTTGAATCTTGCCACGAGACCAGCGAGTGTCTGGAGTTGGCCATGGAGATTTCAGAAATCTGTTACCGCTAGCACAATGAAGTCAACGACGTTCCGGCAGACCCTTTGGCCCCACAGGGAAACTCCATGACAATAAGACTGATTTCTATGCGCTGAAATGTAAGGATTGTACGCATTTCTTGGATGCCATAGACCATTTTATTCTGCACCTGGCTGGCAAGGGTAGGGTTGTCAACTCAATGGTCTTATTCCAAATTTCATTACTGCATGGCTCGTTGGAAAAAAATATCTTGATCATGTGTGATGAACGATCTTAAATACCTCGTAAATGCCATAGGTACAAGGTGTTTCTTGACTGCAAAAAAGCATGCTAAACCACTCCGTGTTACTGCGTTCATTGGCTTGCATCATGGATTCAACTTCATTCACAAATTCAGGACAAATTAGTACATTCTTTTGGAACTGACATACATTAGCTTGTCTTTGTAATGGCCTCATGCATAAACATTATGCATTGTTGGTTATTATTAATAATGTATTGTATAACATCATTTTGTAATTAAAAATTTATTTATACAGTCTCTTAAAATTCACTTATATGTACAGTTTAGGTAGGAAAGGGAATTAAATGAATTAGAAACCATGTTCCTGTAATTACAACAGATGTCTCTAAGACATCTCCAGTGAATTTTGAATATGATGTACTTCAAGAGAGTACTGTAATTCTAGACCATATTATTATACATCTATGACTATGTCATAACAGGTTATGCATGTTCTTAATTTGTTACAGAAATACTCTTCTTTATTCCAATGAGCATAAATGGGAATTATATGCAAGTTTCACAAAAATGACCCCAGATAATCAATTCTTCATTTTCCTCATTTCTGTTTGTCAGGTACAATAAGCAACAGGATATTAAAACAGAATCAGTTCATTTCACTAAACTATCACTTATGCAGGAATCCAGAAGAAATACATGTTTAGGTACTAATTCACCATGAGTCTCCTAATACAGCATGTGCGTCAGAAATCATATTTTTCCTTTTCTGATAATTAAAGTAATCCACAATTATGCTGAGTCCCTCCTCATACTTACAGAAAAAAATGTTAAGATGTGATATAAACTTGGAAAATGATTTTCAACTCAAACAAATTAAAACAAACATTTTGGGGGAAAACACACCTAGGATGAAGTTATATTGGATTCTTCTTTACTTTTAGTAAGGCACGGAATTGTTCATTAATGTGTGCTTATACATTCCCACAGAAATACACACACACACACACACACACACACACACACACACTTTTCTATCAGTAACCAAAGAACACAGAAGTGAAATGAGGAGGAGAGGGAACTTTCCACAATCCAATCAAACAACAAATAATACCAAAGTATCTGCTTTCGCCTGACTTAGGTACTTTCAGGCAAAAGCAACATTTATTTTGTGTCTTTCATAAGTGAGCACATTTTTCTATTCTGTAAGAAATCCCTCCCCATGTTGAAAACTATTAATCTTTAAAAAAATGTTTTTAAGCTGCTTATAGAAAGGTATTTAACTGCTCCTGTCTTGCTCCTGACAATAACAGCGCATGGACGGTTAATGCAGCTTTGTTCCTGTTTGACGAACCACAGAGCATGACAGTGCCCTATACTGCCTGCCAAATACCTCAGCCTCTCTGCTTTTCAGAAGTTCAAGGACAACTCTAGACTCTATGCTTAGAACTGCAGACCATTAGCAGGGAAAAGAAGTGGATTCCTAGAATAGGAAGGGAACCTAGGACTGTTCCAATCCAATATTCTCATTCTCCATAAGAGAAAATAGGGGTCCCAAGAACTAACTTACCCCAGACCACACAGTGAGTTCAGGGCAATGTTACGAATTCCCAACTGGTGGTCTCATTTTCTAACTACACTGCACCACTCGATAGTTTTCCACTTCCCAGTCCAGCTGCTACACCATGGTACAGCTGTTTCGATGGTTCGAATATTAAAATACTACCAGACCGGCTCATAAACAGTTGTTACCTTGTACCTCCTTAGTGTTTCCTCTATGCCTCCAGCCACCCTGGCCCCTCTCCAAGCACCCATCCCACCTTCGCATGGTGCCAGCCACTAAAAGAAGAACACCTGGCAGTTGCAGGGTCTCTGGGATCCCGTTCCAATAAGATGGTACCTGGCTGGTGTCATCGATGAGGCCCTGTCACCTTAGTGTTACATATTTTGACCATTATCGCTTATCCCTTTCTAGTCTATACTCTTCAACTGTGCAAAGATTATGCATTTCAAAAGTGAGTCGAATGCTTGTCAATTAGAGACATAAAAATTGCCAGGGCTGATTTTATAATGTGGTCACAATACTGCAAGATTTTTCTGTGGTCTCTCCACGGTTAGTTAACTTGCTCCCCACTCTCAGAATTCACCACGCTATAACAGAAAGGGTTGGTTATACAAAGTATGAAATTTCTTTTCTTTATAACCAATAATAAAACATCATCCTTTTTGCAAACATGAATGGCTCTTTCAATTGAATTCTTATACAATAAAACATACGCAGCTGGGAAAATGCAATTGCAGAGGTAAGACAGATGAAAGAGGAATGTGGTTATTGATTAAATACAGATATCAGAATCTGAGAAGGCTCATTTTTTTTCCTATAATGATGAAGGCGTGTGATTATAAATAATGACAATGTTATTCTTTAAAATGGGCTTCTTGGGGAACAGACTATTCCTATTTAAGAGAGCACATTAGATAAAAAAAAAAAAAAAAAGATTTGAAAACATACAACATTTATAGGGAATGGAAAACAGAGATTTTTCCCCCCACAGCAACATAACAAGATAGTTACATTGTCTTTGCTGTGTTCAATGGATTTCTATAAAACCGATGCTTCTCTAAAAGCCTACAAAATGTGGAAAGCAATGAAGAAACATAGTTACACTTAACTTGTTAATGAAAATTTCCCCCTACATAAGCTGATAGGTCTGCAGAGCTCATTATCAATGCTGGACAAAGTTAATAAAGCAAAAGTCACTTCAGTTTTTTCGAAGGAAACGAGAAAACATTCAAGGCAAGGAAACTTTACATGTAGGAAGCATCACATGAAGGCACTTCAGCATTTTTTTTAACTACATGTGTAGACAGAAATGTTTGAAGGACAGAATTCATGATCCAATGGCTGTAAATGTCCCCTTCTATAAATGGACCTAAGGAATAATGTTTATACTTAAATAAGGTAGTTTGACTATAAGAGATTTGCTCATCAAATGTTAAGTTCACCCAGGCTACGCAACCTGATGACCTAAGATAAGATTGCAGTACCTGGTTTAATAGTTTGTTGTGTGTTCGTTGAGGACGATATCTGAGCTAAAACCCAAAGAGTTTCCATGTATAGCCTCATGTGAGCTGTCTGGGAAGGCCAAGTGAACAGAGAATGAGTGTCTAGTGATTATAATCAACATGGGACTAAAATGTATTGTTGGGCTTCTCTACATAGGTCTAGATAGCCCTTGACATAACTGGGAAGGAGCCCAGGATATGGGGAGAGGAGAAGGAATGATGACAGATCAGGCCCAGATCATTATTTGGATGGATATACAGTTGACTCTTGAACAGTGAAAGGTTTAGGGGCCCTGATCCCCTGCCCAGTAGAAAATCCTATGATATAACTCTTGATTCCTCCCCAGATTCAACTACTAATAGTCTGCTGTTAACTGGAAGCCTTACTGATAACATAAACAGTTGATTAATACATATTTTGTATACGGATTACGTACTGCATACTTACAAGAAAGGAAGCTAGAGAAAAGGAAATGTTACTAAGAAAATTATAAGGAAGAGACAATACATTCACACTATTGTACTGTATTTTTATAGTACTGCACCGTATGTACTGAAAAAAAATTTCACATATAAGTGGACCCACACAGTTCAAACTCGTGTCGCTCAAGGAGCAACTGTAAGTGTCACCTTCTGGTCTACCATCTTGATATGCTTCACAGTCCTGCTTTTGTCATTATCCCCAAACCAGTGGTTCTCAACTAGGGGTGACTCTGCCCTCCAAGAGACACTGGGCAACGTCTAGAGACATATTTGTTTGCCACAGTGGAAGCAAGGGAAGTTCTGCTAGCATTCGGCGTGTAGAAACTAGGAATGCTACGTAAACATTCCAGAACACACAGGATACATCTCACAACAAAGAAAGAGCTCTGAATGTCCTCCTATCAGTCTCAGTGAACCATCCCCAAACTGACCTTAAAACACAGCTGGAAATAGAATTGCCAGACAGCCCAGAGGATGCCCACTTAACTTCAAATTTCAGATAAACAAAAATAACACCTTACTATCAGCATGTCCCAAATATGGCATGTGACACACTTATACTACAGAAACAATTGCTCGCTTATCTAAAATTCAGATTTAGCTGGGTGTCCTATATTTCTATTTGCTAAGTCTAGCAGCCCTGGTTCAAAAGACTCCACATTTTGAAAGGAATCTATGGAAGGAATGATCCCCCAACTCCCTCCCTGTCTCTGAAAGAGGAGTTGTTTATCTCTTTGGTCAGAGGCCAGGACATTCACTGGACCCCATTTTACAACGTGGTATAATTTAGGTCAGGGTGGTTGGCTTAAAGATCAGCAACAAAGCAGGACCACTCTCATTTCTCCTTCGGCCCCAGGCTTATACTTCGACCTTCGACTAAGCTAGCTTCATCCCATTTTCTTTGCTTCACATTCCTCAGGAGGGACCTCAGTTAAGAACTATCTGGATACAAGGAGTAGAAAGCAGCAGTCCTTACTTACACCTTGACGTTTAAACCACATCATCTGGTTGAAGCTTGGCCAGAAAGACCCGTCCTGATTGGTGCTTGCACAGCTAGAAGGATGTATTTTTTTCCCTATCCAGCTATTTTCCTTTCCATATTGCTTGCTCTGTCAAAACTGTGGGGAAAAAGAGTGTGTGAGCATTTCTTGGGCCTGGATTCAATACCATCTACTAACACATGAACTTAACCATGCACTCTTAGTGTATAATCAGGGGTTGAGCAGAGAACCTCCGTGTGTTCCCTTTACTACATTATTCGTATTTATTTTACAGATGAGAAAATTCTCAATAGGAAATATTTAATTAAGTCTTTGTATATATTATCACAGTTCTCTAAGCAGCTCTATAAAACAGATGCTATTATTAATCCATTTTTCTAGGGGAAATAGAGTCTTAAGGAAATTAAATAGTCTGTCGGAGGTCACACACCCAATAAGCAAAAGTCACAAGGTGTGAGCTCAGGTCTGTTCATTTCAAAGCCCATGTTTTCAACCACTATGCCTAGAAGCTGCAGAGATGAAGAATGATCAAACCAAGATAAAGTTCAAGTATTCACTTCTAAAGCAAAATCAATCAAAAAAATCTAATGATGAGACTCAAAGAAAACCA